AGTGAATAACATTGTGCCTGGTATTTAATAGGTGTTTAATAAATAGCTGTTAAACTGAAAGATTCACCAAGTATGCACTAAAATAATTTTATTCTACTTATAAGTTTATTGTAGTAGTTTATGTGGCAGTGTTTCATAATTACCTATTAATTTTTTTGTTTTGAACCAACCCTTGTAAGTGGTGGTTTTAAGATATCAATTTCGATTTTCTTCAGTTTTTCTACTTTTTACTTTTAAATACTTATTTTAAGGTATGGGCGATTAGTTAGAAATTTCTTTCATACTTGTCTTGGAAATCAGGAGGTTTGACAGGATTTACAGATTTGCTTGCAATGTTGGGATGCTGTAGTGAAGACTGAGCTCATGTGTGAGTCAACAGTAAAACCAGCAGTGTACCATTTAAATTGTTACTGCCACAACTTAAAATGGTCATATCAGTATATGAAGAAAATAAATGAAAGCTTATCTTTGTAGCATAGAAGAATCTGCCATATAAAATGACTGCCATCCAACCTAATGTATAATTGAGTACTGATTCCTTTTGGAAAAAAAATTTTTAAACATTTTTGTCAGTATATACAGTGTATTTGTCATTAAGGAATAGCACCAGATAAACCCTTGATGAGACTTAATGGATTTTTATTACACCCCTATTTGAGAATCTGAAATATTCACTAATTAGTTAATTTCTAGGCTTCAAAAACCTTACCCTTTGGAGGGCTGGTTTTTTGAAAAGTACTGACGATTATCTGTATAAGCAGTATGCAGTGACTTCTAAGATAATTTAAGGTAAGAAAGAGAGAAGAAAAGGAATAATTAGGAGTAAGGCACCATGGCTTTCTCTTTCCCAGGATCAAGAGCTGTGGAAGAACTTTATGCTGCTGTCCAGATGACCATGTCTGTTGTCTCGGGTGACAAAGTTTTAGCATTTGACAGAGGCACAGTGGTTAGCTGTGTCTGATTGTTAGCAAAGCAGTTAGAAATGGTAGCTGATTAGAATCAAGTTATTATGTTCCCATGGGAAAAACAACAAAACCTTAAATGGCTACTGAAACTAACTTTGGGAAAAACATTTTTTGTCTGTATTTATGAAATTAAAAATTAAAACTATTTTTCTCATTGGTAAAATGTGTAAGTAGAATTGGAAAATCTTTTGGGTCCCTGTTTTGATTTCCCAGTCCAGTTTACACAGACTAGAAAAATCTTATTTATAGAGAGGGTTTTCTTGAACATATAAAGCTCTTCAATATGTCATTTAAAAAATGTTAATCAGGTGTAGTTCTGAGGGCTGGGAATATAATAGTGATCATTAAAGATACCTTGCGAACAAAAATAATTAATTATAAGATAGTGGGTTAATATAGTGGGGATATATAAGATGCTATGAGAATATAGATGAAGAATTCTTAACAAAAAAACAGGAGGGGTCCGAGAGGCTTCCTGGAGAATGTGTCATTATAACCTGAGATCTGAAGGATTACTACACGTGAGCCAGACCAGGGAAATGGGAGAATGTTATAAGAACAGAGAAAAAAAACAGATGAAGGCCTGAAAAGTAAGAGACATAGAGTTTGGTGAATCCATGGACCTGAAAGACTTTTGTTATGCCTGGATCAGCACAATTATATTGTGTGTGTGTGTGTGTGTGTGTGTGTGTGTGTGTAGCTAGGTAGGGTGGGGGTGGAGGAGCATTTGTGATCAATAATTAAGATTGATTAGTTAAAACCAAATACTTTTCTGTTTTTGGATGCTTATTGGGAATTCTCTGCTGAATATTACTCTATAAAAGAAATAGATTTTTTTTAATGATTGATTGAGAACCTGGTAGACAAAGTGATATGTCTGATTTAGGGATGCAGTTTTATATTTTTACAAGTAACTTTTAAAAAAAATGTATAACCTCATGCTGTACTTTTTATTAACTCGTCAGTTGAATACTTAAGTTAACCTAGTTCAGGTTATTTCTGTGTCCCTGTTCAGTCCTTTTTGATTATCTTTAAAGGCAGAGTTGAATCATTAGTGTAGGTCTTGGAGGTCTTTTAATTTAGAATTAAACTGTGCAAACGTTTTTTATGTTTTCTTCCTACTGGTATTAACACTGAACTACACTTCCTGAGAACTTTATGTAGATCAGTTAGAGAGGTTTATCTAAAGTATTTTCATATTAGTCTACCTCTTATAGTTTATCAAGCACTTGGAGTTTAACTATGAATTATAAATAGAGTAGCAGTGTATTGCCAATATATTTTGTAATGTGAAATGGACTGTGCAAATGGGAGTGTGAGTGTGTGGGTGTCTGTGTGTATGTATGTATGTTTGCATGTGAATTTACTTTTTTATAAAGAATAGTAAAACCAGAGTTGTCTTCTGAATCTTTTTAAGTTTATGTTTTCTGATTTTGTGGTAATATGGTCTAGTGGAATAAACATTGATTTGTATTTGGGTAGTGGTGGAAATTATTTCATTTTATATATATATATATCCCCCCCCCCCAGTAGAAACCCAGATATATAATTTGGGGGGGGGGGATTTAGGTTCATATCTTCTTTTGTAATTCTCCAAGATAGATTGGTTTGTTCATTTTACAAGATGGATAAATCAAAGTGCAAAGATTATGGAGTCCTTTAAGGTCACCCAACTATCAGAATTGGAATCTATAAAGACTTAAGGTCTGATAACCTGCTAATCAATCTTTTTGAAGTAGAATTTTGAAGGTTGATCTTTTTTCAGAATGATGGTAAAATAGAAAATGATGATTAATACAAAAATTAAATGTAAACAGATTGTAAAAGACTGAATCAGAAATATTTAACTTTTATGTACTCTCCAGTATTAATTACATTAGTAAGACTGTGTTTACTCTTGAGTAGTTTCAGAGCTTAAATAGAGAGTCAAATGCTTGTTGAATGACAGATCATTTATTATTATTATTATTATTTTTAATCCTCACTCGAGGACATTTTTCCATATTTTGTTCAGATAGAGTGGGAGGAAGAGAGAGAGAGAGAGAGAGAGAGAGAGAGAAACATCGATGTGAGAGAGACACATCGAGTGGCTGCCACCCGCACAACCCAACCAGGGCTTGGTACAAACTGCAACAGAGGTACGTGCCCTTAGCGGGAACCGAACCCGGGTTTCTCTGGACTGCAGACTGACACTCTAACCGCTGAGCCAAACCGGCCAGGGCTGACAGATCATTTTATACCTACATAGTCCTAAAGGTATTTTTCAGGACACTTTTGTTTTTAACTTAAATCAGTATTATCATTTTCTTTTATTTGAGAAAACTGAAGGCTCCTTAATTAGTAAAGTACTGCACATCATTTTTGTCAATTTACTTGTGGCAGTAACCTGTCAGAAGTAGTGAAAGAAGACCTTCCATTTGTTTTATTCCTGGTGGATGTTTTTATTTTAATTTTTTTTTTTTAATCCTCACCTGAGGATATTTTCTTAAATATCTTCAGATGGAGTGGGGTGGGGGGAGAGAAACATTGATGTGAGAGGGACACATTGAGTGGTTGCCTCCTGCATGACCCTAACCAAGGTCAGGGCCTAACCGCAACTGAGGTACGTGCCCTTGTCTGGAATCAAACCCGCGACTCTCTGGTCTGTGGGCCAGCGCTCTAACTGCTGAGCCAAACCAGCCAGGGTGGATGTTTATATTTTAAAGATTCGATGCTTGTTGGCATTTATTTTTGTCTCTGCCTTTTGATCTTTTGTCACAATGCTTAGACTCCCTAGACCCCTGGAATTCCTTTTTATTTTTTTTTTATTTTTCTTTTTCTTTATTGATTTTAGAGAGATAGAAACACTGATGAGAGAGAACATTGATTGGCTGCCTCCTGCATGCCCCCCACTGGGGACTTGGCCTGCAACCTGGGCATGTACCCTGACTGGGAATTGAACCAGCGACCTCTTGGTGCATGGGTCGATGCTCAACCACTGAGCCACACCGGTCAGGCTAGAACACTGGCATTTCTTTAACAAATATTTATTGAGCACTATTAGAGCTGAATACTTTATAGTTATAAATAAGACAGACTTGGTCTTGGTTGCTTTGGAGCAGTGGTTCTCAACCTTCCTAATGCCGCGACCCTTTAATATAGTTCCTCATGTTGTGGTGACTCCCAACCATAAAATTATTTTCCTTGCTACTTCATAACTGTAATTTTGCTACTGTTATGTCCTAGGCAACCTCTGTGAAAGGGTCGTTTGACCCCCAAAGGGTTTGCAACCCACAGATTGAGAACCGCTGCTTTGGAGTTTTAATCTTAGTGGAGAAGATAGGCTTTAAACCAGTATGTCAATATTTAATTAATTGCAATTGGGGTAAGTTTTTGAGGGAAAAGGTTTTCAGTAAATTTATAGTGGTATCAAGAGGCTTAAATAAAATTCAAAATTATGGACAAGATATATTGTCATACTAAATAGCTCAGAACCTGAAGTAATTTGAATTGATTTTAAAAAGAAAAGTCACAGACAATCCTGTGACATGGTTTTGACTTTCTTTAAGGAATTGGGAAATTGTGTTACAAAACTCCATTTTCACTTCCTAATGCAGAAACAAGCTTGAAGAACCAGGCAAAACCTTTGGCTGGGAGTGGGAGAGGATGGAGACATGCAAACTTTCTGTCCCACTCCAGATCTATAGAATCAGAATCTCTAGGGGTGGATCACACATATCTTCATTCCCAGGTCATTTTGATGATTAAACAACAAATAGATGTTGGGACCACTGTTGTTATATCCCAAGAATTGATTGGCTACTGAATTAGAAAAAAAGCATCAATTTTAACTGTCCTAATATCCAAATGATAGAAGGATTTTTACTTAGAACTTAGTTTATAACTAAGTTGTGAATAATACACTGTGGTAGTAATTGGAAATGCCTATACAATTTTGTTTTTAACGAGTAAAACTGCACTTTCGGATTTTCAACAGTGATTGTTCAAAAGTATATATTAAAGTTACCCTTTGTGTTTTTTTTTCCTCTCCCTCAGGAACTAAACAGCTTAAACACATTTTATTAAAAGATGTGGACACTATTTTTGAATGTAAATTATGCCGAAGTCTCTTCAGAGGATTACCAAATTTAATTACCCACAAAAAATTCTACTGCCCACCAAGTCTCCAGATGGATGACAGTAAGTTTTAGTCATGTATTCTGTTATGCATTTTACAATTAAGTATCCTTATACTACACTACATGTTTATGTTAAGTTATGGATATCCAGTTATGGATAATTTAATGATAGAGAATAAAATTAAATACTTGACTCAATGCTATGTTCAGTTTCTTAGATATGTACTTTCATACCTGTGCTTTTCACTTGGAGTTGCCTAAAGATATACGAGATTAGATTTAGGAGTATATTTATTTGTATTAAAATGTTGAATATTGGTTTTGAATGTTCATATGGATCATATTGTTTATAGTTAGGATTTTTGTTAAGATAAAATACTAATTCTTGAAGGGGATATTGGTATTTTTCCTCTACTTCTTTAACAGCTTTTGTTACCAGATATGACTGATCATTTACTTAGATTCCTCTTAAGTAAATGAGAAGGTTGAGAGTAGAGCAAAGAAAGAATGAGTAAATGAGTTGATTTCTTGGGAATGGTTGAGAACATTAATATTAATTATATATATAGAAACACTTTCTAGTGTTTTCTGTGTCTTGATTTGAAGATCTGTTTTGTTCTCAGTGAAATTTATTTAGATCAGTCATTTTATCAGAAATTAGATTGTGTTACAGGCTAACTTGAGATCTGAAATAACTTAATGTAATGAAGGCAATTGTAGGCTAATAAAGTCTTTGTGGAACCAAGTGTTTGTTGAATTAAGTGTGTTTCCCCTATATGATTAAGTGACAATATATGTAATGGTGTTATTTTCTTGCTTTAAAGAACAAATGCAAATTTCTTAAACTATTTTAGTAATAGTTTACTTGCATAATTTTTTGTTCAGATATTTAACTCTTTGTGGACTTATAAAATATAGAACTTATTTTGCCAGTTTGATATTATATTGCATGGTGGATTTTGTGTGTTTTTCAACTTAAGCTTTTTGGGATGGGAATGAAATACAACTTCAAATATCAGCATGAAGCTGATTTAAAGCATGCTATATGACATAGAAGAAATGAAAATTTCATATTTGTTTGGATACTGCTGTTAGAACTACATACTTTTTAAAATGATTGAGATATAAATGAAAAGGCAGTCTATAAAGATTAGTTTCAAATCTAACTTTTTAATTAAAGTACCCTTAGAAAATAAGTTAATTTTCTGATAGTTAATCCTTGTTATTTTGTAGTATGGAGTTGACTTATAGAGGGAAATAGATAAATGGATTTGCTGGATTATTGTGCTCTCTTCTTGGCAATACTCATTTTAGAGATTCTTTTATGAAAGTGTTATTTTTCTTGTAAACACTTTATCCATTTTAAAAAGGAAGTAGACAAGAAGAGCTATAATGAATCCTTTCTTGATTTCTAGATAGATAGAAGATTTGATGCTGTATTTAATAAGTAATAGCTAGAATTTAGAGTGGTATATGGAAACACAACCAGTGTTAGAGAACTCTGTTACAATAGGACTATTTAGTTGCCTCTAGAGGGTGTAATTATTGTACAGACAAATAAAACTAGCTCAGTTTTTGGAATACATCCATAGGTTTTAATCATTTGTTTTAATAGAATTGTGTCATGTTAAGGAGACACATAATAGGACTGAGTTTAGCAAATACTTCTATATATCATGTTATTCATGTTTATATATTTTTCTACAAATTTTCATAAGTATGTCTCCATATAATTAGAATAGGTAATTTATCATAGGTAAGGTTAATAGGAATGCTGTTATGTTTTCTTTAAAAAATTATTTTTATATATAGTAACTTTTTTATGATGTTTATCCATTTTGGATTATGAGAACTTTGATTTGCCTTTGGTTGCCTAAACATTTTAGATTAAAAATATGAAATATTTTATTGTTTAGGACACCCATGTGCTTATATATTTTATATTAAGGGCACTTAAAAGTGGAAGGAGTGCCCTGGCCGGTTTGGCTCAGCGGTTAGAGCGTCCACCTGCGGTCCGGAGAGACCCGGGTTCGGTTCCCGCTAAGGGCATGTACCTCGGTTGCAGTTTGTCCCCGGCCCTGGTTGGTTGTGCGGGTGGCAGCCACTCGATGTGTCCCTTCCACATCAATGTTTCCCTCTCTCTCTCCCTCCCACTCTATCTGTACAAAAAAATGGAAAAATGTCCTCGGGTGAGGATAAAAAAAAAACAAAAAAAACAGTGGAAGTAGCTCTTCAGTTGCATCTATTCCTTAACGTGTGCATACTATGTTGAGGTTTTAAATTAAAGCAAATTTTAGTTTAATACTAGTTTTCATCTTTATAAAACGCTGAAAAGAGATGATACAGTTATGAAAATGAGCATGAACCAGAAATATAAATTTTAAGATAGAAATTCATAATGCATTAAAAAATATTAGAGGGTTATAGCTAATTATATCAGAGTAAAATGTTGTTTTTTTCTTAACAGACCTTCCTGATGTAAATGATAAACAAAGCCAAGCCATAAATGATCTCCTAGAAGCCATATATCCAAGTGTGGACAAGCGAGAATATATTATTAAGCTAGAACCCATAGAAACTAATCAAAATGCAGTGTTTCAGTATATTTCAAGGACTGATAATCCTACTGAAGTCACAGAGTCAAGCAGTACTCCTGAACAAACTGAAGTTCAAATACAGGAAAGTGACACTGAACATTCTAAAATAGTACCAGTTACAGTTACAGAGGTGGAAACTGTAGAGCCCCCTCCTGTTGAGATGGTTGCAGATGAAGTTGCACCTACATCTGATGAACAACCTCAGGAATCACAGGCTGACGTGGAAACTTCTGACAATTCTGATTTCGGTCACCAGTTGATATGTTGTCTTTGTAGAAAAGAATTTAATTCCAGACGAGGTGTTCGTCGTCACATTCGAAAAGTACACAAGAAGAAGATGGAAGAACTAAAAAAGTACATTGAAACACGAAAGAATCCAAACCAATCCTCTAAAGGACGAAGTAAGAATGTTCTAGTTCCATTAAGTAGGAGTTGTCCAGTATGTTGTAAATCATTTGCTACAAAAGCGAATGTAAGGAGGCATTTTGATGAAGTTCATAGAGGACTAAGGAGGGATTCAATTACTCCTGATATAGCAACAAAGCCTGGGCAACCTTTGTTCCTGGATTCAGTTTCTCCTAAAAAATCTTTTAAGACTCGAAAACAAAAGTCGTCTTCAAAGGCTGAATACAATTTAACTGCATGCAAATGCCTCCTTTGCAAGAGGAAATATAGTTCACAAATAATGCTTAAAAGGCATATGCAAATTGTCCACAAGATAACTCTTTCTGGGACAAACTCTAAAAGAGAGAAAGGCCCTAATAATACTGCCAACAGTTCAGAAATAAAAGTTAAAGTTGAACCAGCAGATTCTGTAGAATCTTCACCCCCTTCCATTACCCATTCTCCACAGAATGAATTAAAGGGAACAAATCATTCAAATGAAAAAAAGAACACACCGGCAGCACAGAAAAATAAAGTTAAACAAGACTCTGAAAGCCCTAAATCAACCAGTCCGCCTGCTGCAGGTGGCCAGCAAAAAACCAGGAAACCAAAACTTTCAGCTGGCTTTGACTTTAAGCAACTTTACTGTAAACTTTGTAAACGTCAGTTTACTTCCAAACAGAACTTGACTAAACACATTGAGTTGCACACAGATGGGAATAACATTTATGTTAAATTCTACAAGTGTCCTCTTTGCACTTATGAAACTCGTCGGAAGCGTGATGTGATACGACATATAACTGTGGTTCATAAAAAGTCATCTCGTTATCTTGGGAAAATAACAGCCAGTTTGGAGATCAGAGCTATAAAAAAGCCCATTGATTTTGTTCTAAATAAAGTGGCAAAGAGAGGCCCTTCGAGGGATGAAGCAAAACACAGCGATTCAAAACATGATGGCACTTCTAACTCTCCTAGTAAAAAGTATGAAGTAGCTGACGTTGGTATTGAAGTAAAAGTCACAAAAAACTTTTCTCTTCACAGATGCAATAAATGTGGAAAGGCATTTGCCAAAAAGACTTATCTTGAACATCATAAGAAAACTCATAAGGCAAATGCTTCTAATTCACCTGAAGGAAACAAAACCAAAGGCCGAAGTACAAGATCTAAGGCTCTTGTCTGGTGAGGAACAGTTAACAGAGTTTTGCTTTTTTCTCCCCATCGAACTAAAAAAATCATTTGACCATAATTTATAGCTGGTTCCATTTTAACACATTTGCTTCCATATATCTTATGGCAATGGGAACTGCAAGAGTAATGCACATATTGCATTTCCTCTTCAGTGACCTTTATTCCAGTGGCTTGGGAACAAAAGATAACTTCAAAACTTATCTTCCACAGGACAATGCAATATAGTTTTAGGTAGATGGCACAGGGTCAGTGCTTTCCTTTCTATGTTGTAAAATACACATTTATATTGGCTTATGTTTACAATAGAAGTCTTCTGTTTAACTAACTTTGCACAGGTTTAATTTGACTCAGTGGCTTAGTCTACTAATTAATGCATTGTAGGAAAGTTAAATATATTAGAATGAATTTGTGAAGGCGATAATTATAGGAAAAAAGTCTTTTGAGGCACTGTAATTATTGTAAAAATCTGTGATGGCTAAATAAAGTGCTGCACTCAGAAAAAAAAAATCCCCAAATTGAATTTAGAATGATTAGCATTTATTATTTACATTTAACATAGCGCTTCTAGGCAAAGGAGGAAACTTGATAGTTTGAAATTTCCTTTCCCTTCTCCTTGGGAGTATGTGTCAGTTACCATTTTAAAGTTTGATCTATGAAAGAGTGATTACTTAGGTTCCAAATCCTCTTATTTTTCACTTTTTGTTTAAATAAATTTTTTGGTGATTATTTCAACATAGTTGATATTATTAAATAGGGATTAAAAAATTTTTTTTTTTTTTTTTTTGGTGTGGTTGTGCGTTGCAAGAAAAGTGAAATCCCTGTTGGGGGACAAATAAAAAAAATAATACTTTTTTGAAGGTTTTGGAACAAATGTAGATTTTAAAAAATGCAATATAAAATAAGGAGTAGACTCCCTATACTTGTTTTCAAGTCTCTATATTTTTAAAGTTTTCCTTCAGTACCTGTGTCCTCTGTGTTAAGGCAATTAATATATTTAATTAGTATTAGTTTTGGATTCAGGTTCCAAAGCAGTATACTTAGTTTGAGTGCTGAGTAGGTTAAATGTTGTGGTTTGATCACTTTTTTTATTTTTGTAGAAAACTTGAGATGAAACCATTCTTTAGAAGTTATTTATTGTTGTTTAATTTTAAAAACAAGCTTTGATTGGTAAACTCAAAAGTGTTCATTTATTCCCATTTCTCCTCAGATAACTTCAAGTGATGTACGAAAAGGTTTGGAGTTCATTTTTGTGGAAAGACTTTAAATTGGTGTTAGAACCACTAAACGTCTTCAAATGGTACTATGAGAAAAACAAAGAGAAACATTTTCATAAACATTTGACTGTAACTGTTGTTTTCTCAGTAAAATGATAATCATCTAACCACTTGTTTCAAAGGCACTGCCTTTTCCAGCACTTTCAAGTAGCTGTGACATTACTTATTGTCATCCCAGTCCGTCAGCTACCACCTTTGACCTTGTGCATTTGGTCTACAGTTTCTTCAAAAATGTTGCAAATCTTGTTTTTTAAACAATTTGTTGATTAACGCGATCAACAACCTGAAGAAAATATCACCTCTGGTGATTTTTAATTGACAAAGACTTTATATCTTAGTGATTTAGTTTTGTTCCACTTTATTTGGCAAAATTTTCATCTGGATTGTACAGATATATGGCTTCCTAGTGAGTGTATGTTAGGACCAAAAGACAAATTAGTATCAACACATTATACATATTTAGCCTACTAATTATTGGTAATTATTTTTACATTCATGTATTTCTAACTTCTCCAGCACTTAAGTGTTTGAAAGTTTTATTCTAAAATATATACAACAGGAAAGTTCCAGTTCATTTTCATCCATGGATCATTACATTTTTCATTTGTAAACATCTGAGGTTTTTATGAAAATTTAACATTCCCCTATTTTTCTTTAAATTTTATACAAAGCACTTTAATGATAGATGCAACTTAATTTTTCAGTTTCTATTTTTTTAAAAGACCACACATTTACTAATGTTAATATGAAGGTAGTAAATAGCTTACTGATATTTTATGGATGCAGACAATCCATGCACAACCACTTCTTATGATACTAGTTTATTTCTTTAAATATTGCGAAAAAAAGCAGGCGGGGGGGTGTAAACCCTGATTTTTTTTTTCTCCTAAGTAAAAACTTAAATGACCACTTTAGATAATATTTGATTCCTACTGTAAAATTTGGAAAATAATGAATTCTTGTTCATTTTTATAATCAAGATTTTAGGAAAAACAGAAGTACATCTATCTTTATGAAATTTTAGACAGGTTTTGTGTATCAATATTTTGTACTTTTTAGGGAATATTTTATTTTTTAGTAATTTTTGTCAAATTATAATTTTAAAAGGTACAGCAGAGAATATACCATGTTTTTATATAGGTTCACACCTGTACTTTGGAGGGACCCTGTACATCTATATACTTTTTGTATAAAATTTTTAAATGTTGAAGATCCACAAGGTCATAATAAAATACTTCTATAGCTAGACAAACATTTACCCTTCCCAGTGCTTTGCACTAAAATATACTGTGAAAGGAAACTAGAAAGACTGTAACTGTTGCTGGAAATGTTCTATATTGAATGTACATGCTCTTGTTGGAAAAATGTACTATATGTGATGGAAATAAACCAGACTTGGAGTTATTTCAGCTAAATGTGCTTCAACAAAGGTGCATTGGTTGAAACTTACATGTTTATTATCAAATTTAAATTTATTCAGTGACTATGAGCAGCTACACTTGAATTATTTCTTGATAGTTCTATTTTTAAGAATTAGAGTTATAATTTCTCTTTAATTTAAAAACAGATTTACTTTTCCATATATGGAAAACTTGTACTTATAGGTCTAACTTTAATGATTAATAGTGTAATATATTTAGGGAACTAAATGTGTAGGTGGTATTTCATTTATAAACCATCTTCATTAGTTGCACATTATTAAACCTGTATGTTTGACTTTTGCAAGGTGTTATCTTTTATGCATTCCTACACACAAGACATATTCCAAAGATATTTTCCAGACTTAAGTACCTATAACCTGTGAAAAGATATGAGAATTCCTAAAAAGCTTGGGCTAGCTCTTTGCTACACCCTTTCATCTGTATGTCAGACTTTTCTTCTCTCCTTTACTTGTTAAATATTGTATGTTGATGGAGGGGAGCTCAATTGCTGGAATTTCCTTATTTCACTCACCTGTTTTCACATGTCTTTGGCATAATTCTAGGGCCACAGAGCAGGAATTTAGAAGAAGGGATTGAGGGTTCAAGGACTGTCAATATTATGTGGGTTATTGAGAAAAAAATAGTACTTTGTCAGGATTGGTTTACATAAGAAGGGCCTAGAGAGATTAGAAATATTTAGCCAAACTAACAGGTTATGGCAGGCATAGAAGTTAGAGGGACCAGTTTAGAAAGGTAGAATGAACAAGCAAGAAGTGATTAGAAATTCTTTGTTCTTCCTATTCTTTTCTGGTCTTCATTCTCACTTTTTGGTTTTGATTCTTGATGTCTGTCATCTCAGAGGCTTAGGATTGAGTCTCTTGAGAAGAGGCCTAGGAAATTTGTGCTGGAAACTTTTGCACATGGGCTATATAAACAAATATTGATAGCACTTTTTGTTATTGTAGAGAGGTAAAAGAACCATCAGACACTGCTTATAATACATTAAAACCTATCTCTGGCTACAGATAACACCACCTTTGCTGCTATTTGCTCAACTAAGAGTTCTGTAGAATTTAACATCTTTCTTCCTGAAGATACTGTCCTCTCCTAAGTGTGTTGAAAGAGTAGAAACAGTAAAAGATATGGCTTGTGCTTCAACTTCCTAAGTTTGGATAGTGCAAGTGAGAGCTGGATGAGGGATGGCTGACACTGGGCAGGTATTCATTAGAACATGCAGATGTACCTTGAATGCATAATGACCATTCATGTCTCTCTCTTTTTTTTCTTCTTCTTTATTCCCTGTTTCAAGAGGAAAACCTTCTTGAAGAATATATACATATTCTTGAAGAACATATTACTTCCCCATATTTAACTTTTCATATATGAGCCAATTTTTTCTGTTGACACAGATTGCTTGTATTGTTTAAAAGTACCTTAGCATTTTTTAGGAATGTGTGTTTGTTATGTTGTTTTATGGTTAATAGGCTGTTTTCAGTTTGCTTTAAAGAGTCTATGGATTCAGTAGCAGAGGATTTTGTTACTTTGTAATGGTTTGAGGCTGTGGGTATAGAAGAGGAGTTTCCCAATAGGTGTAAGGACAACTAGGTATGGAGATAGAGAGGCATAAGTGGATATCATTTCCTGTTGTGAAATTGCAAAAGATCTCTTCAAAGAACATGACCACTGAAGTTGAGATAGAAATGCTTCTAAAACTTTGGAAATGAGGTTTCCAGGTTTCCCATAGTGGCCTATGGAAATATTCCAGGTCCTTAGAGTTTTAGAAGTTACTTTTCTAATGGAATCCATAGATTACCAAAATTATGATTTAGCCATGTTTCTCATAGTTGATCTGAAACCACGCTCTAAGATATGTGCAGCATGATGTTGGCTGAGCTGTTAGACAAAATCCTTCTGTACTCTATGCTATTCTTTTCCTCTTCTCTGACCTAAGAGGTAATGGAAACCTCAGGATTGAAAAGGAGTAAGGATCAGCAATCTAAGAACTGCTATTAGTTGTTTGGTTTCTAAATCATCAGGCACATGATAGAATGCAGAATAAAACATGTTTCACTTAAACTCACAACTAACTTTCCAAATTTATTTCTCCTCTCTTATAATTTGTTTCTGTAGCCTTTTCCTTTGGTCTATGTTCTGAGCTTCCAGCTCTTAATCTTTTCCTATTTTCTCTTCTGGTTAACAGAGATCTTACTATCAAGATAGCTAAAATGTTTTTTGAGAAGGTAAGAGGGTGGGAAGTCAGCTTATTTCTTCCTGAATCTTAATGTTCTACATTCAATTTGTCAGGTTTATTTATTTTTAGGCTTCTTCTTCTGCATATATTCACCACTGCCACATCACAAACAGGAACAGAAGTGCATCTGGTTGGGGAAATGCCCAAAGTTGGAGGTTTTACTGTTTGTGCCCATTTACAAATTTGCTTGATTGTGTATTTTTGAAGTCAGGGTCTATGTCTTGATAATTTTGTTTAGTGCCTAGCACATTTTAATGTATACCTAGGCACTTTAAATAAATGTTTGATAATGATATTAAAGTAAGTAGTAGCCTTTTCCATCTCAAAACCATGCTGTCATATATTTTGAGACTTTGAGTCTTAATTTCATAAACTTTTATCTTAATATTGATTTCACTTATTTTAGAAAATGCTACCAGTTCTAAAATGAGAGTTTATGATAAAGAGAATTCTTAGTATTAGCTAATAATAACGAACGTTCATGGAGTGCTTACTATATGCCAAGCACTCTGCTGATCCTTTACATGACCTGATACACCAACAACCTTTACATGCCCTGATTCACCAACAACCTTATGAAATAAGTTCATTTTCCTCATTTTATAGAAAAGAAAATTTAAACTTAGAGAAGGTCAGTGATTTACTCAAGTTCACATCGGTAGTATACTACAGAATTGGCACTTGATACTAGGTCTGACTAAAAGCTAGTATACTACAGAATTGGGACTTGATACTAGGTCTGACTACAAAGCGTGTGCCCTTGATCAGTACACCTGACATTTGCATATTTTACCATTTGCAAAGCACATTCAGTACATTACCTTGTTGGTGGCTTAGTGTAATGCTTTGGAACCAGAGTAGTTGGTGAAATTTCTGGGTCCACAAATGATTTTCGGTGTGGCATTGTGCAAGTACTTAAACATTTTGTGCCCTAGTTACCTCACCTATAAAATGGGGATCTCAGTATTTCTTAATCTCATAAGTTGTTCTGAGGATAAAATGAAAACCATTTAAAATCCTTAGGATAGTGCCTGGCATGTTACAATAAATGTTAGATATGATTCCTATAAGTGATCAAAATGTGGAGTTTTTTATTACCTCAAGTTTAGAAAAATGCATTAGAAAAGAAAAATTTATTGCTACACCATATTTTAACTGCTGCTTTTGTATTTAATTGAGACAGTGAAGACAAACAACTATATCATTTTCTATCAGTTCTAGTCTAATCAGATATTACTAGTTTATCATTTTTACTCATAAGTTTTTCATTTATCTTGCAAAAGGTATTAGGTAGTTGTAAGCACATTCATTGTAAGTTATGCCTTGCTTTTATGGTTATTCCCCAGAGTAACCCATCTGTCTTAAAATTCTCATTAGTATGTGTTCTGTCACACAAATATTTTATTTTTGGTCATGTGTAAAATATTGACATGGAATAAATATAATTTAGGTGAAATGTTTCTGTAAAACATAAGTAGATATGTAGTACTATTTGAGAGAAAGCATTCAAATACGGAAAGAGTGCATTATTCAGGAGAGCATGATTTAGGTTCAGTCAGGAGTTTCTTTGGTGAGTGTCATGAAAAGATAAGAGGAAATGACCCTTTTCAACAGTCTTGCCAATGGTAGTCATTAGTGCAGTACTCCAAGTACTTCAGCTGAGGCCCAAGTACTGTTAAATTATCTGCTGAGAGGGTTTACCCATATATCTGACTATTGATCTTGCTTTTTTTTTTTAAATCCTCACCTGAGGATATTTTTTTTAGAGAGAGGAATGGAGAGAGAGGGAGAAACATCAATGTGAGAGAGAAACATCTTTGGTTTGGCTCCCTTATGCACCCTGACCAGGAAACGAGCCCACAACCTAGGTATGTGCCCTGATTAGGAATTGAACCCAAGACCCTTTGGTGCATGGAACAACACTCCAGCCAGCTGAACCACTCAGCCAGGGCTGATCTTGCTTTTTAAACAATAATTTTAGAAATTTTAATATTTAGGGCTGGTATAACTTACTACACCAAAGATCCTTGTCTCTTGGTTTGGATGAACCTTCATATCCTGAACTTCAGATCAAGTACTGGGGTTTCAACACTTGGGTTGTGTGGCTTCTTAATAATTCTGATCAACTACTTGTGTCATGTGTCTGGAACATATTTCTGGCACACAAGATATTAAATGTTTAAGCAATAGAATGATGTGGTTGAAAAAACAGCCAAGCCAAAATAAACAAAAAACCCCCACTTGGAATACTTGAGCAATAATAACTTGCAATGTATTTAGGTGGTCCTGCTCTGTATAATGTGGTAACACTTTCAATACAAGAGTATGTAATGATGATATTCAGAAGAGAAATTATTAACACCAAAATGAACCTTAAGTGTACAGAACTCTTATTACAACTCAGGTTTTGAATATTGGTTTTTAATCCCTTTTACCTGTGGGATTATCCTGAAAATAAATAAGCTCTGAGAAGTGGAACTGTGACTGTAGTCAAACTTACTTTCTAAGCTGTGCAAAGTGTTCTTTTAATAAGCTAAGACTGTTTTGGTTGCTTTGATATACCGCAACTCCAAAGTACCTGCTAGTTGTGACTGGTAACTTTTACTTTGGATGGGAACAAAAAGCATTTTCTTCTAGGAATAAATGGTGAAGCACTAGGAATATTACATACTCAAGTGATGGAATTATATGGAAAATAATTAATGTAGGGAAATGATTTTTATGTAGTTTCTTTGAGTTTTTGAGATACAATTTGTTAGGATTGTTTTATATATAAGCTTTTGTAGTACAGTGGCCATGTCATGTTCGTACCTTTTGATCATTAGATATTTATTGAGTCCCAAACAGTTAACTAGAGCTAAGTAGCACAGTACCTTTAAACTGCAGATGCTACAAGATGGAAGTAAAACCCACATTGCTTGGATCACTAGTCACCATTCATTTTGCCATGTCTTTTAATTGCAGGTGTGTGAGTGCATGTGCACCCATGTATACAAATACTGGGCTATAATTTTGTTTGTTTGCAAACACAGAGTTTTACTTGGTCTCTATAGCTAGTAAGGAGAGGTTTATTAGAAGGCTTTATGTGGGGAAATGAGGGAGATAGAAGTGGCCAGGCCTTATAGGAATCTACAAACTAGCTTCACAATGTAGCTTTCATAGAAGCTGGAAAAAAAAAATCAATGCAATTCTAGTGATTGGGTGTTACAAAACCTTTTAGCAGGGGAAGTATTGCTTCTCTGCTGTTTTAGCCCTTTTCAGACTCTGCGTTAACTTTAAAAAGTGAATAACCTCATTCTGTGTTTTCTCAATATAGTTATTACTGCCTCATTATTTCTGCTGCATACCTTGTCTGTGTCTTTTCAGCTACTTTCCCTCCCTATATAGCTTGAGTTCAGACTCCTGTAAGAGACAGTGTGGTTTGTTCAGTTAGGTTGGACAAATCTCCAATGCCAGACCTTTTCATAAACTGCTGACCATAGGCTGTTCTTCATTGATTGGCTGCTTTTGGGACAGGTGCCCTGTTATTTCTATCATTGGTGATCAAGGTGGAATAAAACATGGCCCTGGATCCAATAAAAGGAATTTTTTACCAGAGGGATCTAGATAGTCCTAAAATATAATAATCTTTCCAGTACACATGACTTTCTTCCATTTTAGGGGTGATAGAATTAAAGGTAACTTGTGGGCTTGACTTTTGTGTCAATGCATCACCAACAATCCTTTCCACGCTGAGAAAATGGGGGAAAGAGCTTTCTGATCAGCATCTGCAGTTCCTTTCCTGAACTGCCTGATGCTGTTTCCATCGTTTGCTTTGCAGATTCATGGACAGCCTGAAGTTTTCATTGAGAAAGAGCCATTACATTTCCTGTAACGGCATATTAGGTCATTCTGTCAGTTTCTGCTATTTTCCAGACATGATTATGCTGCACAATGTGAGCTGGTGATTTAGTGAATCCTTAAAATATTGCTTCTGCTTTTCTACTTGTATTTTCCACATTTAGGCTTACTCTGCAATAATTGCTTTATATCTTCTCACTCATTCCTTCAACAACAGACACTATTTAGTGTCCATCATGTACTTGGCACTTTTTCATTCTTCTGGGGAAACAGAATATGCAGTGGTTAAAACATGGCTTTTTAAGAATCTGCAGACCCGAGTTTAAGTTTTGGCTCCTTTACTTACTATCTGTGTAGTTTGGGCAGGTAACTTAATTTTTCTAAGTTTTACTTATCTGTAAAATGATATTAGAAACTACTGTATTAGTATGCTTGTTCTGGGAATTTATAAAAGTTTAATTATATATTGTATGTAATATACTTAGCAAAATAACTGGCTCAAGTAAGAGCTCAGTAAATATGTATTACTGTTGTAGTGGTCATTAAAATGGTCAATTTGCTGCTGAAATACTTTCTAGCACTTAGTTTCTGGTTATCTTGCTTTGCCATTTGATGTTCGTTGCCTTTTTGTTGGCATTAGTCCAACCGTTTAATGAAAAGTCAGATGTAACATCTGTGATAAAGCCAAGATGTACAGTTTATTAAGTTAAAACATATATTTTTTAAAAATATGTTTTTATTGATTTTTTTTTAGAGAAGAAGGGAAAGAGAGATAGAAACATTGATGTGAGAGAGAAACATCAACAGGTTGCCTCCTGCATGGTCCCTTACTGGGGATCGAGCCTGCAATTCCGGCATGTGCTCCATCTGGGAATTGAACCAGGACCTCTTAGTCCATGGGACAGTGCTCAATCCACTGAGCCACATGGACCAGGATAAAACATACTGTTTTATGGGTCTTCAGCATGTTGCCATTTTTTTTTTTTCTTTTGCAGCACCTTTGCTAATCGTGAAGGATTTGTTGAACTTTTTGATATAATTTTCCTTTTTTGTGATTAATGTCCTATGGAACAATGTATACTTTTGGATAATAAAACTCAGAGCACCTTTTGTTTTTTTTATATATATATATTTTTTTATTAAACATTAGGCTATGAGTACATGAACATATTCTGAGGCTATAAGCAAGAATTATGTCTTCTCTTTGTATCACCAGTGCCTCACAGTGTATATATAACAGGTGCTAAGAACGTGTTGAAGGAAGGAAAGAAGGAAGGCAGGAACATTAATATTTTTTCTCCGGGCTTATCATTAGTCCACAATATGTCTTTGCTTTTCAGTTTCTTTTCCCAGTACCTCATCATCTAATATATATAGTTTCTCTACCTGCAAGCTCCTCTTAGTTACTGTTACTGATGGCTTCTGTTACCTGCCTTCATTGTATGAGCCTCCTTGTTTATGCCATTGCTACTAAGTAATGGTGACAGATTCAAACTCACGGGAGTGTATTGTATTGACTGTATACCCTGACAAGTAATCCATAATTAATTATACACTGTATAGGTATACACTCAGTGATT